ATCACACCTCCCTAAAACTCCTCTGAAACCCCCAAAGAGAAACTCCCATGAACTTCAACAGCTCTGAACAAAGCCCAGTGTTTCCAGTTGTGCTATCCACCTTTGGGCATTTTTGGAGGAGATGGGATGTCCTTAGGTGCTCCATAACCTTTGCATGAATAGTTCCTTTTCTCTGCATAAGCACATTCTTAAAGGAGCGTTGGGCTTTCATTCTCCACTTACTCCAACCGTCGGACTTCTCTGTTCACTTGTTTAAATCAAGCATAAAGCTCTAACTGTTCTTTGAATATTTATGACTAGTTTTTATCTCATGCCATGCATACAAAACATACTTGATTTCTTTCCTAAAAGTTTTTTCAAGTGCAAAGTTTTAAAAACATGTGGCTTTTATTGCAGGCAGGAATGAATAACAGCATTCCACCCATAACCACATTAAATGGAACAGTAATATTCATATGCGTAAGGGCAAAAGCTGCCTTGTTTCCTATTTGCAGTTGAACTCTGAAATTAATTAAGGACTAAAAGGATCTGACAGTCATTAGGATCTTTTAAAAAGGAGTGGAAGTGGCAGATGGGACCCACGCTCTGAAAAGCGCGGCCGTGCTATCAATAGCAGGGAGGATGTGAGCCCTGGACACGCTCCTCGTTGTCGGGCTGTTGTGGGGAGAGGAGGATCGCGGTCCCAGCTGACAAAGAACGGCACTTTCGTGACTCCAGAACCGCAGGATTCACGTCAGTGCCACTCGTGCTCCTAAGTCACTTCACAGCTTTTGAAAGCCCCGGCTCGTCCCGCCGCTGCTCCGGTTATTGGTGCTACACCCCCAGCACAGGGCGCCCGTCAGGGGCTGGTGCTGGGGAATGGGGGGGTCCTGGATCCCCCTGGGAAACCATAAATCCCCCAATGGCAGCAGCATCACTCCTGATGCTCCACAGGGTGTGAGCGCTTGGCTCTCTCTGGTCTGTGAGTGGCCAAGGATGTAGGTGTGGGCGTGCACACGTGTGGAGTGTCTCCCTGGGGATGCTGGTTGGCATGAGGGCTGGCAACAAAACATACTGGTATATATAAAATGGGGAGAACTGGGAGGACAGGTGAGCCCCAGGGCTGTATGGAGTGCCAATGGCGACTTCTGCAGCCACAGCCTTTTCCAGGCGTTCAGATGATGGATAAAACCTGGCCCCAGGCAACCAGGTGGGAATGTTAAACTGATTTTCCCTGCTCACAGCATTTTGTGCCAGGATCTGAAACTCTTGCTAAAGCCCTCCTCATCCTCCTCCTCTTCCTCCTCCTCTTGCTGCCCCAAGGAAGGATCTTGGGCGCCAGGGCTGCAAACACAGACCGTAAGGTGGGTAACCACAGCTCCCATGGGGTTAATGGATGTCCCAGCTCAGGATCCAGCCTCGAGCTGCAGTTGTGCCCTTGGAAATGGGTGCTGAGCAGGGCCCCCCACTGCAGGTATCGCCCGACCCCGGGGCACAGCAACCTCCGAGCAGAGCCCAGTGCAGCCCTGCTGGAGTCGTCATCGGGCCGCCCTGGCAGCTGGTCCCTTGCCCAAGCAAAGGCTTCCCCTGATTTATGTCTGGGGCAGCCACTGCCTTTTCTCTCCCCAGTTTCCCCTAATTTCTTCCCCAGGGCCCCGCAGCTTCCTCCCGCAGGAACCTCTGCCTCCAGTGCCCACAATTGCCCCGTGGGAGCCCGTTTTGGCAGCGGCACTCAGGGGTTAAAAATTGTCACCATCGTGCACCCCATTGGCCCCAGCATCTGTTGTTTGATTTATGAATGAATAGCACGCTCCCTCCCTGCATGCTGCTCTCAGATCCCCTTCCCTGAGCTACAAAATAGATCCAGACACCCGCATGGCCCTACTGAGTGCCGAGCTCCTGAGAGTTTGCGATGAATTTTTAATAGAAAGCTTCCTATAAGCCTCTGCACTCGCTGCTCTGCTGTCGGAACAAGTGGCTCTGCTGCTAAAGAGCAGCTCAAATGAATTAAAAACTACAGAGGAGCCTGTAAGGGGAGTAATCCCAGCGAGTAATGATTTAAAGAGCCGCTGACCTCCCTGCGATGTGAACAGTAGCTTTTAAGTATTTGTAAAGAGGCCCGTGCAAATCCTGGGTCTGATACTCTATTAACCTCCTCGGGAGTGCAGGGAGGGTGGCAAAGGAATAATCCCCACGTGTCGACACCTCCTGGTTTGTGGAGGACCAGAGCAGCGGGAGTTTTGCTGCCTGTTCGAGACTCTGAATCCTGCTGTGCTGGAAAAGGATAATTCAAATGAAAACTCATTCCTGTTCAGGCACGGTGCTGTGGGTCCCTGGAGCTCTGGGATGGCTTCTGTCACATGAACACCTCCTGTAGAAGTAGCCACTGGGTTGCTTTGCTGGGCTCTGCATCTCCAGAGGTCTCCAGGCAGTTTGGGGTTGTGGGGAGCCTGGTTTGTCGCTGCTCTGTGGTTTGGGTCTCATCTTACGTTGCTGCAAGTCAGCAGCTGGCTTTGTACCCATGTGCAGGGCTGTGCTGTGGGTTGTGGGGGTGACTCCGCATCCCACTGCCCTGAAATCAAGAACAAGTCAGGGTGGGAGGCCAGAGGGTGGTGGAGAAAGTGGATTTGGGGAAGGAGCAGGACATGGTACCCAGCAGACCTGTGATTACATCGGTGAGTGACTCAGGGTCCTTGGGGAAGCATTTGGATAGTGCTTTGAGGAATCAAGGTGTTTTATTCAGTGGCCCCTCCAACAGGTTGCTCCCAGTATAAAAAGGGATTAGACAAATTTTTGGATGGCAGGGCTGTGATACAGCCACTGGATGAAACAGTGAAGGCAGGGAATGACGAGCATCCTGCTTCAGGGAGGCAGCTCCATCCTGCTGGGACCCAGCCCAGTCCTGCAGGGGCCCAGCCCAAGATCACCCCACGGCTCTTGCAGGGCCCGTGAGGTGACACCCACCCTCCGCAGCTCCGGGACTGGGGGGTGACAGGTGACACCCCCAGGGCTGCGCAGGGCAGAGGTGGGGGAACCGAGGGGTCTGTTTAGCAGCGAGAAGGGGCAGGAGAGGCACTGGGGCGGGGGTGTCAGAACCCAGACCTGTGCGGGGCGGGATGGAGGGTGTCAGCATCGTGGGGGGTGTCAGCACCCCGGAGGGGTCAGCGTTCCGGGCCGGTGGGGGGGTGTCAGCGGGCCGAGGGCTGTCAGCATCCCGCCCCATCCCATCCCGTCCCGTCCCTCCCCGTCCCGCCCCGTCGCGGAGCCCCGGCGCCAACCAGCGGCCCCGCCGCCGCACTGCAGCGCTGCCCCGCACGCTCCCTGTGCCTCCCCCCTCCCTGTTCATCCCTCCGTGCCCCCCACATCGGGGGCACAGAGGGGGCACCGGGATGGGACGTGCCCGAGCCCCGGCAAACCCCGGCCCCGCCCGCAGCTCTGCCCCCTGCTCCCGGGTTCCCGCGGGTCACCCCGCGCTGCTGAACGGGGGGCGAAAAATAGAACTAAACTTTCACCTAAAAAGGGCAGAATTGGAGCGCCGGTAACGGCGGGGGACGGCCCGACACACGGGGCTGGCTGGGCTCGGAGCTGTGCCCGGCGGTGGCTCGACGGCCCCGGTTCGCCCGGCGCGGATCGAGGGGGTGTCCAGGTGTAACGGGGCGCTGAGAAGCGGGAACCGCCTCTCCTCGTAATTTAAAAAAAAAATACATATATACATATTATATTTTTTTTTCTTCTTCTTCTTTTGGAGAAACATCGGTTTTTTCTATGTCTTGCGGAGCCCGGCCCGGGCTCGCTCCTCCGGGCACCGCGGCTTGCGGGGGAAAACGGTTCACTACTTCGCGGAGGGAGTTCTGGAAAAAGAGGGTGTTTTTTGGTGCTGGGGTTTATTTTGGTTTGCTTTTAAGGAAATTTGCGTTTTGCGCCGTGCAGCGCGGAGCCGGGAACGCTGCGGCCCGGCCGGCTCCGCTCTCGACGGGCCGTTCCGGTGCCCAAACAGCATCGGACTGAGCTCAACCCTGGGGAACAGCCGGGCAGGAAGGGCAGAGGAACCTCCACCTCCGCTCCCGTGGTTCGGGCAGCCGCCTTCGTTGTGTTCCCGCATCACCGGTGGCTTCGCCGCGAATTTTCTCGCCAACGATTCCGGCCGGAGCCGCCGGCCCTGCCCGCAGCCGCAGCCCCGGGGGAGCCGCCGCGGGCGCTGCGGACGCCGCGGGACCGCCGGGGGTCGAGGCGGCTCTCAATTTTGGGGAGGGCAACGGACGGAGGTTGGGCAGCCGAGGTTTTCAGCGCAGGCCAGAGGGTGAACCGCCTCCATCGGTGGTCCCCTGTGGTCTCCGGCGGCTCCCCCCGGTCCCGTCACGGCCGAGCCCACGCGGGGCCCGCGGGAGCGCCGGGCGGCCGGGGACGTGCTCGATCTGCAGCCGCCCTGCGCTGCCGCGGCTGCGGCCCCAAACCGGCCCCACCGCACCCCAAAAACCTCCCCCGGCGGCCGCCGGACCCCACCGGGGCCCCGACGTGCGGGGGCGTGTCCTCCCTAGACCACGCCTCTTTTCATAGAGGCCACGCCTCTTTTCGGCATTAACCACTCCCCTTTCGTGGTGACCACGCCCCTATCCCCCCGGGAGCCTTGCGATGGGCGGGGCCAGGGGTCTCCCCGCCGGCTCTCCATTGGCGGGGCGCCCCGTCAATCAGGGCGCGTCCCGCCCCTCCGCGGCGCCGGCAGTAAATACGGTACCGGGCGGCGCGGCGGCAACTTGGGAGCGGGGTGCGGGACGAGGCTGTGCCGGGGCTCCAGGCGGGACCCACCGCAGCCAACCCACCGGGGACGAGCCCCGGCGCCGCGCGGGAGCCGACAGAGCCCGCACCGCTCTCCCCCCTCCGCCGAGGACGGCGGTGCGCCGGCACGGAGCGAGGCAGCGCGGGGCTCCGCCGCCGCTGCCCCCGCCGCTGCCCCGCCGCAGCCGGACTCCTCCTTGTCGTCCCCCCCGGGCCGCGGCGGCTCCCTGACGCCCGCCGTTGTGATGCGTATTCCCGTAGACCCGAGCACCAGCAGGCGCTTCACACCCCCCTCCACGGCCTTCCCCTGCGGCAAGATGGGAGAGAACAGCGGGGCGCTGGGGGCCCCCGCGCCGGGCGCCCGCGCTCGGCCCGAGGTCCGCTCCGTCGTGGATGTACTGGCCGACCACGCCGGAGAGCTGGTGCGCACCGACAGCCCCAACTTCTTGTGCTCCGTGCTGCCGTCCCACTGGAGGTGCAACAAGACGCTGCCCGTCGCCTTCAAGGTAAGTCGGGGGGCTCCGGGGAACCCCGACGGCTCCGGGCTTGCGACCCGCTCGCCCCCTTTCGCTCCCGCTCCCTTTCGCTTAAAAATCGCTCCTGACATCACCGCCGAGGGAGCGCGGGTTATTATTTTTAATCAAATAGCCCGGTTTATTATTTTTAATCAAGTCTCCGCATTGCCCCGCGGTCACAGCATCTTAGATATTCCGTACAGTTAGGAGCTCTCAGGCAACTTTGAAGTTTAATGAGACGGAGGTTAATTACTTTCCTGGGAGAGGGAGAGCGAGGCAGGGAAGGGAGATCTAATCTGCCAAAAAAAAAAAGTAAAGCGAAGAGCCGAAGCCCCGGCACCGGGTTGCGCTGCCCGGGCTCCCCCGTTCGCGGGACGGGGCGACCCGATGGGGCACCCCCGGGCCGGGCATCCCCCGCTACACCCGCGGGGGAACGGGGCTGGCCGGGGGGAGCCGAAAACCTGTCGGAGGAGCGGCGAGGGGAGCCGGGCGGGACGGCAGCGGAGTCCCGGGGTGCCCGGCGGGGGTCGGGGGGGTCTAAACCGGGTTTCCCCCCGGCCGTCCCGGCACCGGGAGCTCCGGGCGCTGCTCCCCGAGCAGGGGGGGCCCTTCTCCGCCAGCCGGGCCGGCTCCCGGCGCCTCCCCGGGCCGGGCGCGGAGCTCCGGGGCCTCGGTCGGGGCAGCCCCGCGCTCGGCGGCGCTTTATTTTTTTTTTTCCCCGAATCCAACAAAATAAAACCACAAACCCCTCCGACGCGGCCTGACCCCCCCTTTGCCCCTTCCCCGCGGAACCCCTTTCTGCTTTTAACCCTTTTTAAAGCTCATTTTCCCCTTCCCCCTCCGATTTTTCAACCTTCCTCGGGGGCTCGGGTTGCTTTTGGTTTTGCTTTGGGGTTTTTTTTGGTGGGGATTTGGGGGGGGAGCCGTAGGGCAGGTTGGGTTCGATCTAGGTTAATTTTAGCCTAAAATCCTCTGGCCCTGCCCTAGGTTGTAGCCCTCGGAGATGTTCCCGATGGGACCGTGGTCACGGTGATGGCGGGGAACGACGAAAATTACTCGGCGGAGCTGCGCAACGCCTCCGCCGTGATGAAAAACCAAGTAGCAAGATTTAACGACCTCAGATTTGTTGGGAGAAGCGGCAGGGGTAGGTACCGGCCAGGAAATGGTTGGCCTTTTTATTTAGCTTTTTAGAGGGGAAAAAAAAAAAAGAAAAAAGAAAAAATGTTGCTTTTTTTTTTGCCATTTTATTTTATTATTTTATTATTTTTATTTTATTTTAAGTTTTTATTTTATACGTTTATTTTATGATTTCATTTTATTCTGTATTCTATTTTGGTTTTAACGGTGCTTTCGTTGGCGCGGGCTAGGCAGGAGAATCCCCTCAGCCCCAAAGTGGTTCCCGAGCGATGGGAGGGATGCAGGAAGGATGCGGGAGGGATGCGGGAGCAGCCCCAGCCCCGCCGGCAGTTCTGCCTCGCTCCTCCCGGGGGTTCTCCTCTGTCGAGGGGTCGGCTATGGGCGAAGCAAGGGCGAAAAAAAATTTTAAATACATATCTAAATATATATAAATATTAGTAAATAAATATACAAATAAAACGAAGGCAGCCCGAGCCCAAATCCTCCCCGGTTTCTCTCGTCAGCAGGATGCAGGAGGCAGCGGTGTGTGTTCGGTGCCTCCCCTCCACAGCGAAATGCGCTCAGGGGCAAAACCCACCTGGCGGCTCGTTTTTAAATAGTGAAAATCAAGTGTTTAAAAATAACCCAGAGCTCGGCCTGACGGGCTGGCAGCGGGTGAGGGTACAGGCTCTGCTCTGCTCTGCGGGGAGCTGGGGTTGCTCTGGGGGGGGGTTTGCACATTTTCGCGAGACAGAAATTTAGCTTTCTGGGTTTTTCAAAACGAATCAGGCTGTGCCGTCGCAGCAGAGGGAAATAAATCCCCTGGAAATATTAAACATAGAACCCTGCTTGCCCTCCTTCCGTGCATCCCTCCCTGTACCTGAATTTCGGAGGGTGTAAATAGAATTTCAGCATTTCATCACCAATAAATGGTGCAGATCGAGGCACTTAATTCTTCATTTATACCAAAATAAGAACACTATATTTTAATGGCCATATGGCAGCATTTTCTTAAAGGCTTCAAATGTATACACACAGTGTCAGATATATTTTGACTTCTTTGCATTAATTAAAAGCAGTGATGTTAGGAATTATTTGCATGTAATAGCTGTTTACTTGTTCCTCTTTATGAAACTTGAATAGTTTACATTCTTTCATACATTTCCTTTTTCCTGTTGGCTCCTTCTCCATGTTGCAGTTTCTTTAAAACTCTCCACTTAACTGGTTGCAGGTTGATGGATGGAAAATGTTTTTCTTTTATGAATTAAGCTTTCATTTCTGTAATCAATTATTCTCTTAGGCTCTTTTCTTTCTGGTTGGGTGTTTTTTTTTTTCATCCCTGCACAAATTTCCAAACTGAATGCAACCCAATCTCAGCTTGACTCTTGAATTCATTATTAACTTGCTTCCTCTGCACTCCCAAGCTCTGAATTAACAGTAGTTTAGTCTCAGAAAGCCCTTGGGTGAATAATCTCCTTCCTCAGGCAGAGTCCTGACAAACGCTCATTACAGCAGTGGAAACACCTCCGCTGCCTCTAACGGGTGGAACTCAAGTGCTTATTATTTTAATTTTTTTTTACATATTCTTGTGGGATGAGGCTTTGTAATATTCACAGAGAAACAATCCCATCAGGGCTCCCTGGGGCTGGTGTGAAGGCGGCACAGTGGGGTTTTCTCGCGGCGTGGAGCGTGGATTTAATTCCCTGTGTCCAGCCGTGCTTTCCCGGCACGGGGCTCTTTCAAACCAACTTAGCGTGAAAAATCATTCCTACTGAATTTTTATTCCGGGTGTCACAGTCTCTTTCCCTTGTTCAGCTCAGCCTCTGACAGCCCAGTGCTGGTTTCCTTTATTCTGGCAGAAATCTGGATTCACCACAGAATATTTTGCTGTGCGTGTACAAATGTTTGTGTAAATCCAAAGGGAGGATGTGTGCACCCGTAAACACCCCCCATCCAGCCTGTCCGTGTGCCTGAGCTGCAGGAGCCTGGAAAACCAGCAGCAGCCAGGCTCTTGTTTTGAAAACATGGCTTGAAATGGTTCAGAATTGGTATTTTTAGTATTAACGTGTCTGGGATTATTCCCTGGCTCTGTGAGCTGGGAAGAGCCAGTCCTAACCCCTCCAAAAAACCCGAATTCCCATCTCCATGACAAAGTGGGGAGAACGACCAGTTTACCAGATTTTATGCTTTGCTCTAAAAAAAGTAAATCAGCCCTTTTCTGCTCAGACTGTATAAAATGAAAGCTGAGGCCGGCGTGGTGCTGCGAGCCCTGTGCACCCCTGTGCCTGCTCTCCCTGCTGGAATATCCCCCCGGAGCATCCCACGGAGCCGTGGGTGCTCCCAAACCCACCCAGGAACTGGGATCCAGTCTTAGCCAACAAAGCTGGGGCACGGTGGGAACGAGCAAACTCAGCCCGGCTTCCTGAGAAGGCGGGAAATGAGTAAAAATGATGCTAAGTAATAATTGTCATTTTCGATTCATGGGCAGATTTTTGAGAGCTGGTGAAGAGATGCGAGACTGGCTCTGGCTGGCCCCGTGCTCTGTCCTCCCTGAAAAGCAGGGAGGTTATTTCACATGGAGAATTTAAAAATTTGAAATGATAATAATAATAAGTAAAATAAGCCAGCTGCGATAGGGAGCTGGGCACGGAGCTGCCGGGCTCAGCTCTGGGGTGTTTTGCGTCTCACTGGCTGGATTTGCCCACGCGCTGCCTGCAAACCCTTCCCTGTCCTCCCGCACAATTTCCCAAATGATTCCTCCTGGTGCTCCTCATCCTGCACTCTGGTTCTGCAGATGCTTTGCCGAGAAATCCCCCGGTGCTGGTTGTTTTTGCCGTGGCCGTGCAGGCGCCGGGAGGCTCCGAGCTCCGCAGGCTGCGGCGGCTCGGCTCGTCCGCGCAGGTTGGCAGCGCGACTGTATCCCTGGGGATTAAAATTATATCATTATATATTTTTTTTTTTGTAATTTTTATTTTTTTTTAACCCTCCCAAATGCTCCTTTTGGTGCAGAAAATGAGCTGAAGGTTTGTGCGTTGTTTAGTGCTGGTTTGAGAGCTGAGGTGAGGCGTGGATTCCTGCTTGCTGTCGGATTTTAAGCCGGCGTTCCCTCCACTTCCATGCTCCCACAGAGGAACTCTCCCACCTGGGATAATTGCAGGATGTTCTCCAGGGGAGATAATTGCATTTTTTCAGTTTATTCTTTTTTTCCTTCTAGCTGTATAAATGCTGTTTTGTTTGGTTAGGGGTATTCTCAGGTTCAGCTCTGTAGATAGATGATGGTCAGGATCTGAAAACGCCTGATTCCTTTAGGGGAAAAGGGAAAGGAGGTGGCTTCCTGCTGTATTTATTTGTGGAATGAAGGCTGGAGGAGCAGAAATCCATCGCATGGAGGTTTATACCTTATACCTTGCTGGGGTTTAGGCTTTTGAAACACCTGATACTTTTGAAATGCCACAGGGATTGCTCTTGGGGGGCTGTTTAGAGCGACTTGTGCAGCCTCCATCCTTTACCCCAGTGATTCCTGAATTTGGGGAGGTTGCAGGAGAGCAGAGGCCCTTCCTGCAGAGAATTCCACTCTCCCACAGCCTCCCCACGGGCTGGATATGGAGTGGGAGACAGCACCACAGTCAGGCAAGGAAGGGGCAGATGGGCTGGGATGAGGATGCTGAAGCTGTGGGAGATGAAGGGTTTGGGGTCAGGGTGGGCCCAGGGTGCAGGTGTGATAACACCCTCCATGATGCTAAAGGCATTTTTGGGCTGCAGATGGAAACTTGTTCTGCTGGGGCAAGGGGGGCACTTGTTTTCTTGGCTCCCAAGAGCTTTTCACTGCTTTACTCCTTTTTTTTTTTTTCATAAAAGGTGACAAGCTCAGTGCTTCAAAAGTGTCTCTGAAAACCCCTCAGGATGGTATCCAAACTCTCTCCCACCAGCAGGTTCCTGCTGGGAGAGGAGGACAGTCCCCACAGCCAGCAGGGCTGCCTGTCTGGTGGCCAAAGCTGGTGGCCAAAGCTGGCCAGATTCAGTTCTCATTTTGTAGTTTCCTATTTTTGGGCCATTTTTGGGCCACGGGTGTCCATATGGCCGAGGTCTAGCTCAGCTCCCCTCCAAACATCCCTGCAGAGGTACATCCATAGGGCCAAGGCCGTGGATTCCCCTGCAGACCTGCAGACTGATGCCACCTCACCAGCTTGTTCCCGCAGGACCATCCCATGGATACCGGGATCCCTTCCCGGAGGGGATCCTACACCCAGCACTGTGTTTCAGGGCTGGATTCCCACAGGAAAAGGGGAAGCATCTGAGCGGGAAAGCACCAGGAAGCTGCTGTGGGTGGAGGGGTCGATATGGGGACAGGGCAGGGGAGGTGGGGACAAGTGACTTTTCCATCCAGGAAGGTCCTGGCTCCCGCTCTGAACCGGGTCCAAGCCTCTCCCTGCTGCAGCCAGCTGAGCCCCAGCGGGAGCCGGCCGAGCTTTGTGCCTCGGCAAGAATGTCTCATAAAATTAAATGATGTGTGTGTTGGAGTTCCGTGGATGTGGATATTTGTGTCTGAGCCTGCTCCGGCAGGAGCCTTTCTCTCCCCCCAGAGCTGAATCAACCCATGTGAATATCCTCATTTCTCCTGTTGTTTTGTTTTTTTTTTTCCTCCCCCCTACCCTCCTTAGGAAAAAGCTTCACCCTGACCATCACTGTGTTCACCAACCCCACCCAAGTCGCCACCTATCACCGAGCCATCAAAGTGACCGTAGATGGACCCCGGGAGCCACGAAGTAAGTGATGTGTTTTGTTTGGCAGCACTGAGAAGTGTGAGGAGGGGGGATGCAGGGGGCCGAGCTCTCCGTGGCCAAAGGATGCAGGACACAGAGCCAGCTGGGGCAGCACATGTAGCTAAGGAGAGTCTTGGTGTGGCCAAGTGAGCCCAAAGCAGCGGGCACGTCTTGACTCCTTGGACTTTCTCGGCACAGCAGAGTGTGGTGTGTGTCCTTCCCTGCCTCTTGCTCTCTCTGTGCTCCATATCCCATCTCGGAGGGATGGTTTTATAGCTCCTCATTGTGCTCCATAACCCATTCGGAGGGATAGTTTTACAGCCCTGGGTTGGGATGTTGGGAAAATGCTCTGAGCTCCGACGGCAAAAACACAAAGGGCTCCAACCTGGCGCCGCACAGGGTGTGCTGGGGGTGGTTATGGAGCCAGAGGTGCCTTGCTCGGCTTCATTGGCTGATTGCTGCTTTTCAAACTAAAAATGGTCGCAGGTTCCCTCCGTGCTGAGCTCGTATTTGCCTTTTTGTCGGAGAGCACCTTCCCCTTTGGTTCGTGGTGGTTTCGCTTTCGGGCCGTCAAAGGCTGGGGCTGGCAGCGCCGGCGGCCGGGGGCTGAGCTGCTGGAGAAAACCAAAGGCACGGTGCGACCGCAGAAGCGTCTCTGTTCTGGTGGAGGAGGCTCTCCCGGGCGCAGGATGGTGCCTCGTGGTTGAGGGAGGCTCTGTGAGTCTCCCTCGCCGGGTTGGTTTTCGGCGTCGGGCTGCTTTGAGCTCACCTTGGCATTTCCAGCGATCCGAGGAGCGTGGGGAAACGCTCTGGAGCTGTTGGCTGGAGGAGTTTCCTCTTGCCATGAGTATTATTTGCTCTGTGGGACCCCCTGCGTGGTGGGATCTCGTCCCTGGGGGCTTCATCTCTGGCTTCGAGCTCTGGCTTTGCCTTCCTGCTGGCTCAGCACCACCCCAGGGACTATAAAGCTGAGTTTGTTCCCTTTGCGTGTGAAGCTGTCAGTGCCCACATTGAAGGGAAACGGTTTGATCCTTCTAAATATGCCTCAGAAAATATTTTCTGTTGATGCTGTCGTTGGGCCATCGGTGCCCCTTGATGTCAGGCCAGGTGGAGGCTGTTACCTTGGCGAGGGGGTTTGATTTGCATTGGGGTTTGTTGGGTTTTCTTCCCCCTTCATTTTTATTTCGGAGACCGAGTGGCTTTATGGGAGCCTGTTGAGCTGCTGGCTGGATTTACCAAGCTAGAATTCAGTTTTGAGGGTTTTTTTTTAAGCCAGAAACACAAGGCAGGTCCCTGGTGTGGGTTTGCAGCCATCAGCACCCGTGGGTCGTGGTGGGTTGAGCTGGGGCTCAGCCCGGGGCTGGGAGGGGAAAGCAGGCAGGGGCTGGGCAGGGAATTTCACAACTATTCCAGGTCAGGAATAGAAACCAGGTCTCCTGACTCCTGGCTCAGCCCCTTATCAGCTGCATCAGATCGCCTTTCTAATAATAATAATAATCATCAGGAATACATAAATAATAATACAAGGTGAGATAGTTACTACTCTTAGCGTTTGGTTTGACTTCACCGATAGCCAGCGCTCGCCAAACCCCTGTGAATCACACCCGCTCCTCCTGAATTTCAACATCCCTCCCCAGAGCTCCCCAGCTTTAATTTAAATTTTCTGATATGGAGGGGGCGGCTCTTTGGCCAGGCAGGGAGCTGGGGGGGGCCGAGCCGAGGGCACACTCGCCCTGTGCTTCTTTGTCCCGGGGCCGTGCCTTTGTTTGGCAGAATTAGGCAAAAGCTGAGGATGGAGCGGCTTGTCCTGGCTCTGGCTCAATGTGCCCGAGGGATACCTTCCCTGGGACCCAGCCCGGGTGCAAGGTCAGCAGTTTTCTGCTTTTTTTTTATTTCTTTCTTTATTTTTTTAAATGACTTGTGGACCTCAAAACGTGCTGGAAGTGCTGGCTCCTTAAGGAGATCTGCGTGGTGTTTATTTGCTGCTTATGCCCTTGTCTTGTGTGGACCCCAAAGGTTGATCTCTCCCCCATCCCTGCACCTCCCTCCCAGCCCATAAATTGCTTATTGAAGAAGTTTAGACCCAAACTGTGTTTTTTTTGGAATTTGTTTCAGATGATCATAGATTTGTTGGCAGTAAAGGTCATATTTTGACTCCCGGTTTGACCCTGGGGCTTAAATTCATCATTGATGAAAATCCAGTGTCTTGTACTGGAATAAAAAATAATAATAAAAATCTCTTTTTTTTTTTTTGGCCACCCTTCACTTTGCAGTTTCTGATGAACAAGAAATTAAAAAAAAAAAAATTTAAATAATGCCCTTTGCCCTTCCCTCCCTGCAGTCCTGTGCAGGAGCCCTTGCTGTGGAAATTACCAGCTGTAAAATGATCCAGGCTCACTCCTGGAAAGCCGGCGTGGTTTTCCTGGTTCACCTGCCACTGGGTGGCTCTCTGGCACAGCACCCCTGTGTGCCAGCACCCACCTGGCTCCCCAGGTGGCATTTGGAGCTGGTACAGCCCTGGTAATCCCCACCTTTGGCCAAACACCATGGCTTGTGCCGCTCTCTCCCTTGTTTGTCTTTGCGAGGAGAGAGCTGGCAGAAGGAATTGCAAACTTTATGTGTATATATATTATATATTCACTTTGTAACATATGTATGTGCATAGATATATTTTTATATGCGTGTGTGTGCAAAAAAAATCGGGGTTTTTCCCTTTCTTGGCTGCAAACAAGTGGGATGTGGTGTGTGTGGGCTCCTGTCGTGCAGGATCAGCGCTGGCCGGGGCTGGAGGCTGGATGTGGGGCTGGTGGGGCAGGCAAAAAAGCACCCTTAATGTGGAAAGAATTGGCCATTTGTCTTGGTATCCTGGGAAAGCCCTGGGCATCATCTCCTCAGATGCAGTGAAATTCTTCCAGCAAACGTTCTCGTGGGGTTTTTTGGGCCAGGAACGCGGCTGAGCTCCACGCCCCAGCTCCGAGCATCCCATTCATCTTCCACCCCTGTCCCATCGCTTCATCTCAGCCCTTGAGCGAGTCTTTTAACTCAAGCCGTGCCCAGAAAAACTTCTGAGGAGTTTGGAATGGGGTTGAGATGGGTGAGAAACCGCAGGGGAGCGGGTGACAGGCAGGGCCCAGTGTGGGGCTGGGGGGAAAGCTGGGATGGAGGGACAGGAGAGCTGGACCATGGAGCTGAAGATGCTCCGTTGAGGGATCCACAGCCAGTGTGGAGCTGATAACAGTGGTGGCTTTGGCTGAACATCCCCTCCAAGTTCTCCCACAGTCTCCTTCCGAGTGCCCCGCTCGCTCTGAGATCTTTCTTCCTTGTGCTCAGGCTCTTTCTGGGTTAGATCTGGAGGGGGAAAAAAAGGACATTCTGTCAAGTTGGCACCTTAGCTCTAAACAAATAGCACAGCGGGTGCCAAGTGTTGACATACTTTGTACAAACAGGAAGTAATAAAATATTTGAACTTCCTGTGGAATTTCCTTCTTTTTTCCCCCCCCTCTCTGCAGCTCTGTGTTTAGCAAGAGCCCGGCTCTGGAGAGCTGCAGCCCTGGTGCAAAGCCCTGTCACATCCACAGCTGCTTGCAAAATAATCCACAACAGGCAGAACATGGAAAAATGAATAGCTGGAAGCTATACAGGGATGTTTAGTCTGTTCCTGGGAAAATGGGAGCATCTCCAGGGCCTCCCCCATCACACCCACCTGCTGGCTGCCTTCCCTTTCCCTTCCCTTTCCCTTCCCTTTTCCTTGCTTTCCTTCCCACCGCTCTCACCTCCTCTGCTGTCACTTTTCCTCTCCTCTTCCCAGCTGTCCCTTGCAGCTCCAGCCCCTTTTCTGCCCATCTCCTGGGAATTCTTGTGCAAAGTCTTTTTTTCCCCTCTAATGCTTTTTCCCCCCTTTGATTTTTTTTTTCCTGCTGCCATTCAGTCTTCTCTAACCTCTCTCCCCCCTTCCTAAATCTCCTATGCCCTTAACCCCTTCTTTCTGGTTTCCACCCCATCCCTGCTGTCCTGGTCACTGTGTTGAGCAGGAGAGGGAGACCCAGAGGATTTGATCCCCCACAGGATCCCTGTGTCCCTCCTTGTTGCCCGCTCAGCCACAGCAGCACAGCAGCAGGTTGTTGGTGTCTCCTGCCCTGTTCATTTTTGGTGTGTGCGTCAGAGATTTGGTGCTTTCAGTCATGTCCCCACTTGGTGCCACCACAATAAGTGACAGGAACGTGTCCCCATCCTGCAGTATCTGCTGGCTTGGACCAGGAGGAGGGAGCTTGTGGCAAGAGCACTTCATATCCCCTCTCCCACCATGCTGTCCCTGCAGGGATTTTCTGGTTGGGCCCCATCCTGACCCTCCGGGGTCGCTTTTCCCTCCCCAAAGGCTTCTTGCCCCAAAAGGCTCCGGCTGTCCTCGAGCTCCCGCCGTCCCCTCGCACGGCACGTAGCCAGGGGGTGGAAAGGCTTCTCACCTCCCACAGAGATGAGTTGTTTCCAAGAATTGCCGTGGTTTTTTTTTTTTGCTTTCATACTTTTGAGAGCCTCAGCTGGGTGAGGGTTTCCCTCCCTGCTGCCTCCCACGAGAGACATCAGCCCCGAGCCCCAGCCCGACCCCGCGCTCTGAGCTGGGAAATGAAGAGTTTGGGACATGCAGAGGGTGGAAACCCCCTTGTGTGAGGTGTTTGTGGCATCTGTGTCCCCGGGGTGCTGGCGGTCGGTGGGCACAAGGCCGTGTCTTGGGTGCTGGTTTCCCTTGAGCACTCAATGCACTGGGCACTCTTGGCTTCCAGTGTGTAAAAAAAAAAGCAAAAAACTGGGAGAAAGATTGACTGGGAAGGGAAAAATCTTGTCTGTAAATCCATCCTGGGGATGGTCTGACCTCTGTTAATCGCAGTGTGCTGGGGTGACTGTGGGAGGATGGTGCCTGTGGCCCTGAGTGCCCCCAGCCCTGTGCTGGGACATCTCTTCCAGCAGCGTTGGCACTGGGCAGTTGGGAGCCCGGGAGGAGAAAG